AAAACAATCAGTTTGCAAGATTCAGGATATTTCAAACCGAAGTAGGTTATTATGTGCACGTTATTTATAGTTCGGTAATGCTGACGTTTCGAACTGAAGAAATATGCCGATACATTGCAAATACTTTTGGTCACGCACTCAGTAGCTGATGGCGGGATTTTGTGTCTTCTGTGAACGATTTTGAATAATTTTGGACTAGTGCCTAATCATTTGCCCAAACTAAACTTTACATATATTGAAAGACCTGTCCTATTATAGTAAGAATCTAAAATCTTTTGGAATTTCGAGACATGGCGCGTGGTCAAAATAACAATTCTTTTCACCGACTGACTCAGTAACTCATCGTTGGAGAACCCTTTGGTTTTTTTTTAACGCCAAATAATTAGATTAATCTAATATTCTTGAAATTGTGCTTTTTTGAACAAGGAATAGTTCTGCGTTAAGTTGGTTCTATTACAACTTTTCTGTGCTCAATAGTTGCCACATTCAAATCGAATGAAAATGGTCGATTTTCAGCCCAGTAAGAACTTGTTAGATTAATGTCTGAACGCGAAATTGATAATGTCGTTTTTTTCGGAAAAATACCAAGATGTTTGAGGAAAAAGACTACGTAGCGTTTTTACTTTTACTAATACCTACTTATATGCAACAGTAGAGCAAATCTCTTTTTCAAGCCTTACCGAACTCTTTTTTGATTTTTGTGGATATTAGCTCTCAAGGCATACATATTAAAGTGACGGCGTCGATAGCTTTCATAATCTTTGATTACTACTATTGATATATTTTTTGATTATTATCATTAAAACTGTCGTGATAATTACGATCAACAACATAGATTTTTGGGGGTTCATTTTTAGACATGCTAGTAACCAACATACCTTTGTTAGTGACTTCAGTGCGATAAGCCAACGGATTGGACAATGCACGCGCTCTATCAAAGCTGATAACCGTCAAAATGGCGAGCGACCAGCCAAGAGTCAATGTGGTGAGCACGTATCGTAATTGGAACAGCTCAGTTTGAAGGTAACATGAATGGCGGGCGCGATAGAGCATCAAGCGCCAAACGGAAAACAGTGGCTGCGTCGCAACACCAGTCAAGCAATCAGTGGCGGCTAGGCTACAAAGCAAGACGTTGGCGGGCCTTTGAAGGCTCGGTGTTTTGGCCACTGTAATGATGACCAAGAGGTTGCTCAGGAATGCGAAAACACTAAGAGGTGCGTTAATACCAGTTGCAAGAACATCGTTCGTGAAGGACGTACTGTCGCTGGCAGGAAAGGCGATAAAGTCTGGCAAGCCGCATGGAGTGGTAGCGTTGCCTTGATTAGTCATTCTCTTGTAACCATGACGACGTACGTAAGGACAGAAGCCGAGTCGATCTAAAAGTTATAATGATAAGGGACAAAAAGACAGTTTATCAAAATTGAACTATTCCATGTTTTTTGGCTTTCGTGTGTGGCTGTAGATTATGGAACTTTTAAATGAGGATACTTCTATGGAAAATTGAGCACAGAAATCACCTTTTGGTGCACGTTTGCAGGTTTAAAATTTCGATCTGGCGAATTATGCCAACGTTATGCAAATAGAAAAACATCCTCAACAGAGACCTTTTTAACGCAACTGTACAGGCAAGCAGCATCCCCCACCCCCCTCCCCCCCCCACCTTCCTAACCGTCTCTTGAAACGGTTTAAACCAAGAAATGTGAAACATTTTAACTTCAATGTTCGATTCAACGAGCCTTCTGAATGCGACTGTATAGGCAATGAAACCCCTATCCCCTTCTTGTTATTTTTACTGCCTCCTGAATTAAATTCATTTTTTTGTTCTTAGCAGTTGAACTACCTTGTTCTCTTCTTCAGGAAAGTTTGGCTCTTTGATTACAAATTAGGAAGAAGACTGTTTCTCACCTCTGAAATTCGGACGCTGGTTTCGGCTGTGGGTTGATTCACTATGAGTCAGTTCTGTGTTGATTTGCCTAAAACCTCTTTCATAAAGTTCAACAGCAGTTACTTTCTCATCTTTGTTATCAGAATGAATAACAAATGACGGAACCTTGCTACTGAACTTCACTGACGGTATCTTTAATTGCCAATTTCATACGTTTGGCTTCTAACATGACGATTCACCGCCATTTAGTCATTTCTATGATAAATCCAAATTTAGCATTTTAAAGACTTCACTCTCAGTTAATAACTACTTAGTCATGGAAAACTAAATTGCAGCAACGAAATAAGTGCCATTAACGCCTTGAAATCAAATTACATTATGTTCAAAAACAACGCATATTGCTATGTTACGTCGTCGGTCATAAGTGAAGAGAAAGCTTCATGATTTCAAATTAACATTAAACTTTAATGTTAATTTGAAATCATGAAGCTTTCTCTTCACTTAATCAATTTCCCGGCTAGTTTAAGTATCTGATAGTTCTGATAGCCAGCTGCGATTTTCTCACCTCCATTTAACGATGATCCATTTAATGGACAGTTTCATCGCTCAATGCATGTGTAAGCTGCAACATTATCCCATATGCCGACTAGTTTAATTGCCTCATAGCAATTTTGTAATTGACGCTAATGCCAGGAAAGATTTGAGACAGAAAAAGTGATGAACAGATTTCTGTTTAGCCGGTCTAGTTAATCAACCTGCCGATTAGTTTAAGTATCTCGATATAGTTCTTATATACAGCTGTGATTTTAACACCTCCATCTCATGATGATTCATTAAAGGGATGGTTTCGTGGCTCGATGCATGTGTAAGCTGCAACATTATCCCATTTTCCCGACTAGTTTAATTGTCTCATAGCAATTTTGTATTTGACGCTAATGCCAGGAAAGATTTGAGACAGAAAAATTGATGAACAGATTTCTGTTTAGCCAGTCTAGTTAATCAACTTGCCGA